ATATATATATATATATTGATGGCCAGCGCCATGGGCAAAACCGAGAACCTGGCACAGGTAATTCGTTCGAAGTCGAAAAAAGGCCCAATCCAAACTCGCCGCATACCGCTTCGTGGCAGGAAGCAGCAAAGCAGCTCGTGGTATCTGTGCCTCCGCACAGACGTCCTCCCCTTGTTGCAACCTGATTGTCTCTGAACTACAGGTATTCCGAGTTGGTCTCGACTCTCGGGTCTCAGCCTTGTGTGCTTTGGTGTGTTCAGCGGATTTCTGGGGCAAAATTAGGGTCCCTAGGGGGTTGAGACTCGCCGGGTGCAAAGAGCGAAGGCCTCTTTGAGCCGGGAAGAGAAAAACGGAGGAGCCGGGAGGGTTTTGTGGGCGCTTTTCGGAAGCTCCCGGTTGCAGAAGCTGCAGACGGGCTTTCCTGCCAAAAAGAGCTCCTGCGGAAGGCAGTTGCCTCAAGACTTGATTGGCGACGGAGGCTGCTGGTGCGGGTAACCTGGAATTCATGTATGCTGCGTCCAACGGCCTGAAAGTGGTGGTCCGCCTACTGTCGGAAGCTGGTGCTGACAAGGACTTGAGGGCTGACTTGCGTCAGGAAGGTGGAGAGACGCCTCTCATGTTCGCATGTGACAAAGGGCACTTGGAGATTGCACGATTGCTTGAGGCAGCGGCTGCCTTGAGCCGATTCAATGAATACATATCTCATGATACATACATATATATATATGTATGCACATGTGTATCTATATATATATATAGAAAGCCATTTTGGCTCAAGGTGATCCAAAACGGCTTAGAGTTTTTCTTTAGCTGTGCTATCGCGGAGGTACCGCGGGCTATGTCTCAGGCGGACGATGATGCAGCTTTGCTCCTCTGGGTTTATTGCAACTATGCAGTTCATACGAATGCCCAGGTATTGCACACGGGGGCTATGCTGGATGTCCGGGAGAGGCTGCGGCAGCTCGTGGCCGAGGGACGGGCATGGGATGCTGCCCGCCTTTGGGGGTCGGTTCTGGAAGTACAGCATTGCCCTCCCCCGACAAACCTCATCAACGATCTGCCTGCAGGTCTCCAGCCGATCAGGACAGTCCCTTGCAGCGAACCTGACTGCCTTCGGTGCCGCGAGGGACGCGGAGGGTTCCAAATGCCGTTTGTCGGCGCCCACTGCCGCACTGCAGTCCTTGTTCGGCCCGGTGTTGCTCCGGCAAAGGCTTGGGCGGACTACCACGCTTGCGAGAGCCGCCTTTCGCCTCTCGAGGGCCCGGGTGGCCCGGGCTGCTGCCGGCTTGTGGCCATCCGACATCCTCCCGGACCATGCGGCGGCCTTGGTGTGCCGAGCAAACCCACCCGAGGGCGGTGTCTTCAGCCGAGCTTTGGGTCCTGTGGCGGCTCTGGCACAACGGGCAGCGACGCTGGCAGGAGCCAGGGTTTCCAGCCGTTCCGTCCTCTGCCGAGGCTCGCGGAAACCACCGGGCTAGGGCTCATCGGGCGCTGTGGCTGCTCTTGGGAGCAGTGGCAGAGGACTGTCGAGAGGACGGCGTCACGTTTTGTGGACCGAGCGGACAGGGCCACAATCGACGGCGTCCTTCGGACTTGGGGCGAGCTTTCGGCCTGGCAGCGGGCGAGGTCACGCCCAGCAGCGCCAGAGCTCGTCGACGTGGACTCCTTCCTGGCCGATGGCACTCCAGCTCCTACTCGGGCCCTCGCCTGTCTTCGGTGGCTGGTGAAGAAGGCCAAGCTGGACCTCGACTTGTCCGACGTCGACGTCGGGTCGAGGAGGACGGGGCAAGCAGGGCAGCCAAGGGGCCAAGCGCCTTGTGTGGGCCCGGACATGCTGGGTTTCCTTGAGGAGAAGATTGAGTTGGCCCATTCCTACCTGGACAGCCCTACATCGGTTTATAACCGACGTGACCTAATCAGAAACCGACGTAAGCCGACATGGATACCCAGCGGTTATTTCAACA